TGGCTTTACGGCGGGGCAGGCTCAGGTGGCAGAGGGGTCGGTCACCTGTCCTAGGAGGCACACAGGCCTGTGGGCCGGAGCCCGCCAACGCGGACCGGAGGACCCGAATTTGAGGACACCAGGGTCCTCTGGGTGTGAAATCCGCAAGGCAGTGAGGAGAGGGGCTGAGCGTCTTTCTAGGCTCTAGTAAGAGGGCAGCTAGGCCAGATAGTGCCTAGATCCTCTGGGACACCGTCCTTGTATCTCCCCTATGGGAAGATTGGATCTCAGGCCACCCAAGGTCAGAGGGGGTTCCATGTAGTCACACGCTCTCCATGTAGTCACAGGAAACCACATGGAATCACAGGTGTCTCAGAGGGCACAGGCAATCATGATCTTTATACACAACCATGTGTGGCACCTCAGCGACAGTGAATGGCCACAGAGCCACCCACAGCCAGAGAGGGACATGCTGCTGGCCGAGGGGCTGGACTCCTTCGGTTTCAGTGTCTGTGACTGAAAGGAGGAGACCCTTCAACTTCTTTCCAATTGCACATTCCTGGGAAACAAGAAGTGTAGATATTCTGGTGGGCCCTGACCTACACCTGGATTTCAAGGTCACCTCCTCCCAACAATCCTGCCTGTTCTCAAAACCTGCACGTCCCCCTACGCCTCCAGCACCAAGGACAGTGCTCAGGCAGCCCAGTCCTGTCTGTAGTCCTCCCAGCCAGCCCCGGTGCAAGCCGACTCAGGAAGAAGAGGGTAGGAAGCCAGGGAGTAGAGGTCAGGCAGCAGAGGGTGGAAGAGTCAGAGGTCCCTTCAGACCCACCAGAGACCACCTACCCTCTGTGCATGTGTGCTCACAGCTCATCAGCTGGGGCACCAGTTTGTGTAGGGACCTATGCCTGCAGTGCCAGTATACGGCATGTGTGTTCCCAGGGCTGTCTGTGTACAACTTGTAGCTGCAAGAGTGCAGATGTGTACTTCTGAGACACTTCCTTTGATTACAGTAGGACCCTCCACCTCCTTCCCTGTCACAGGATCTGGACGCCTGGGAAAGCTGCTCCTGCTGGAACTGAGGCAGAGCCTAATCGGGACTTGGATGGACTCTCTCATGCTCCAGGCTTGGCAGGGCTCCTCCAAGAGGGTGTCACATGACTGTCAGAATCCCCCCTCCACACCCACTAGCAGCAGGTTAACTTAAGACCTGCAGGTGCTCAAGTGGAGACCCACAGGGAACCTGAAGGCTTGGCAGAAAGCAGGTATCTCCCCAGACTAGATTAGCATAGAGAGGTGGGCAGATAATTTCTCCATAGGCCAGAAACCATAAAGCATTTCTTTACAGAGCAGGGGGCCCAAGACCCAAGCAGCAAGCCCCAGGCCCAGTCCTCCTCTGCAGCACTCAGCAGTAGAACTGCTCCAAGCCCTTGCATGGCTCCTGGCAGCCTCCTCTCTAGAGTGATGTCATGGGACACATTTAGTCTGTCCTCCTGCAGAATGGTGCATCCAGTTACTGTTCCTTCAGATGTCTCTGCTACTTGTGAATATTTTAATTCAAAGACCTGTACTGGAGCTGTGACAGATTACAGCTTAACTGAGTATTTCTCTGTTTTCCTCTGAGCATGGCTTGGTCCCACCTGAGGGATGGGGACAGGAAAGCCCTGGGTCTGGCTGTGGGATCATGGCCAGGTATCTCTCCTAAGTCTGTTCCCACTACTGTGTAGGAGCTTGTTCTTTCCTCTCCTGGGCTCCTGAGGTCTCCTTCCTCTCTGTAGGTCTCCATCTATGGACCACCTGTGGGTATGGGCAATTGTGACTCTGAGGACTTCAGACTTCGTAGGTGTGGCAGCCATGGAACCCAGCAGGAGAGAACCCAGGGCCGAGAGATACGGAAGCTAGGCTGGAGGGTCCTTGCACTTCTCTTTTAGTCAGTAAAGTCAGCCACATAGTGGCATCTTTGTTCACACCTATCTCCTTCCAGATCAGCACCTCTGAGAGGGCAGGCAGGCTGATCCTGACCATGTTTGCAGCCCTAGCACAGGGTCTGGTGGAGAATATTATCCCATTCAACAGAGCAGTGCACTGAAGTCTAGAGAGGAGAGCATCTGCCTCAGGTCACCTGCAGTTCTGGCTTCCAGACTCCCATTCATTCATTCATACATTCACTTGAAGGGCTTCAGAACAGACTTCCTCAAGATGTGCCACTTTGGCCCTGGCCAAGTGGCTCCATTGGCTGGAGCATCATCCTGTACACCAAAAGGTTGCAGGTTTGATTCCCAGTCAGGGCATATACCTGGGTTTCAGGTTCAATCCCTGGTCACGGTGTGTACAGGAGGCAATGATTGATGTTTCTCTGTCACACTGATGTTTCTCTGTCTCTCTCTCTCTGTCCATTCCATTCTCTTAAAAAAAAAAAAAAAAAAAAAAAAAAGCCACTTTGGCATGTAAATTTTTTTTGAGCTGAAGCCATTGGAGACCCTGGAGGCTCAAAAGAAACTTTTCCTCTCCCTTAAAAAATTTAAATTAAGAGCCTTGCCCATAATAAGAGCTATCACCAGAAATACTTCTTCTCACCTATCTAGAGGGCAGGGAAAACTTCTAGTGACTGAACATCTGCTCCTCTTATCACCCTGCAATTACCCTTCCCTCTGAAGCCCCAAAGCACCTTATCTCTTCCTTAGCTCCGAATGTCACATGTATCTCATTTTCACTTTCTGTCTCCGAACCTCTCATGTATGTGAGGTCTCAGACTCTCTCATGTATGTGGAGTTCCATGCATATGTACAGAATTAAATTTAGTCATACCCTCTTGTTAGTCTATCTTATAGTGTTTTAATGATTAGACCAGCTGAAAGAACCTAGAAAGATAGAAATAAGTTTCTTCCTCCCCCACACACTCATTCAGCTAATGCTCACTAATACGTGTCCTGCCCCTGCTGGGTGCTGGACACTGGGGATGTGGAGAGACAAAAAAAAGCAGAAGTATCAGCAGTCCAGGGTGGTGAACGTGATAACACACATTTGAGCCTGGCCTAACCCAAAGAAGACCTCCTGGAGGAAGAAATATTTGAGTTGGGCCCTAAATCTTGCTAGGCATTGAAGTGGGTCAAAGGACACCACTCCCATTCCTGGTTCTGATTCTATTATACTATGCAGCTCTGGGCAAGCCCCTGCCTCTCTCTGGTACAAGTTAGGGCTGATCGAGGCTTCTGGGCATTAGGACTAACTTGCCATGACTCTCCTGCCTCTTTTACATCACAAGTGACCATCCTCTGGTCTGTGAGGCCCAATGTCTACTCTGTATTCAGCCTGCTAGTGGCCCTAAGAGCCAGCCAAGGATGGCCTCAGCCACTCTGAGCTCAGTTCTGTGCAGTTAGGACATCTGGGGGGTACTTCTCTGACAGTGGTGGACCCTTCTGTTATTTGAGCTTGCCAACATTCTTTAACACTCTCCTATATTTCGATAGTTTCCCACATTGTAAGTCCCTTCTTCCCAAGGTAAAATCCAGAAAACTCTCTTTTCCAGCCTTCCTTGCAGGAAGGGGTGGATAAGTGACTTAGTGCCAATGAGATGCAGCCCCACAAGCCTTTGATTCCAAAGTCAGCAATGAGCAGGAGAAAGCCCTGCAAGTGGTCTCCATCTTGCTGGCACAAGGCTGGGGGCAGAAGCTATGGATAGTGGATGGTTTGGGGAGTTGTTCCTAGAAAATGAGATTTGACCCTATTTCCAGAACCCTCCCAACAATGCTGTGAGCTACCTAACATTCTTTACTATGTTCATTTTTTGCTTAAAATGGTCAGTATGGATTTTGTTTGCAACCAAGAACTCAGACTGACCTACTCACTGTCCCACTGCTAAAGGTCTTTTCAGCCCTCTAGAGGGTGTGGATATGGGTCGGGCATACAACATGCTCACCCCATCCCCATCACTGCATAGGAGATGGAAGCTCTGTCTGATGTGCCTGGGTGGGCTGAGCCAGACCTTGGTTTCTCCAATCTGGAGAGCTGAGCCAAAACTTGAAAC